TCCTTCTCTCAGACAGCAGAAACAAAAGAAATCCAAAAGTTCCAGATTTTAGATAAACAGCTGGATTTTAACTCTAGCAGAATCTCTTCTGACTTATTTTAGTTAAAGACAGGTAAATTGTGACCCGATATCTCACTTAAATTTTGAAGTCACAGGTAAATTAAGAAAAGCAGAGAATTCAGGCATGCACATTCTCAAAGTCTTCAGGACCTCCCCCCTCCCACAACAACTGGCATAGGAGCATGAGGAGAACTGACCCAATACACAGTTCTGTAAACACAGGAGGGGCCATAACACTACACTGCAGTTCCCCCTCAAAGCGATGCTTGTTTCTGAGCAGAGAAGAGAATTTTAACCAACGCTTTAAAATACAAGTACTTACGTTCCTTCTTCTCTCAGAAGAGCCAAGAATTTTTTCACCCGATACTCAGGATCCATCTAAACACCAAACAAAACACATCTCCATTAATGTGATGCAATTTTCCACGTCGCACCAGAGGAAAACGAGGCCACCAAGACAGCGGGAGATGCACGTGTGTGTCTGCTTTGCCCGTGCCTTGGCCTGCCCAGAGATCGGCCTGCTTGTCCCCAAGTTCTGCAGCTAAGCAGTGCAGAAACAGCCCTGCACCAAGAGAAAAACGCCGATTCGCGCTAGCTCAGCGCGCTCACGCAGCCAGGAGATGAGCCAGACTGGAAACCCAGACAAGCTTCTCCTTCCACCGGGTACTTCTGTTCTCATGGCAATCTGCACACCAGCTTCACCCCACGCTGCCAATTCTCCGCACAAGCCAGGCCCACTCTGTGTCTGCTTCCATCTGCCCTTTCCAGAGCTGGGGCAGCAAATTCAACAGTCAGGAGCAGCAGGGACTGAAGATGTCCTCAGCTGTCTTCCTTACCCCTTGCAGCTCCAGCAGCAGCAGAGGAGAGGAGCTGCGCGTGGTGGGTTAGCACCCGCAGAAAGCTGAATCGCAGCACAAGGCTTCCAGAACCTGCAGTACCAACTTCTGTGGTGGCTCCACCGACCAGGGACAGCCCCCAAAGATCAGTCCTGCCTCTCCCCCAACACTGAGATCCAGACACCAGGGAAGTGGGAGGAAGGGCTACGGAGGAGACAGAGACCCAGGCTGCCACCGGCAGACACAACGTTTGCTGATGCATGGGCGTGTTGATGCTCTCTCATGTCAAAGACTCCGGGCAAACTGCCACTGCTACACCAAGATACAGCGAGTTAGGACTACAAACATCCGGAAACTGGAGACCGCTGGTTCTCAGGGTATCTTTGCGTTGTACCACAACAGTTCACTTGGCCTAAGAACTCCAACCTCTGCTCATTCTGTTATCTTCACCAACACCTTGTGTCTTTAACACACTGCCACAAATACAAGGGGCTCGTTCTGAAAACACTCAGTGAACGGTCCTATGGAGCTGACTGGCTGTAAGACTCCCAGCTCTGTCACCCGCTCGGCAATAAACAGGCAAGTGCTCTACTAAAACATAAGACTGGGACTTGTCCTTGGAGGGGGGAAGCAACATTTCAGCAACCTCCCAACCAGCGAGGCTGAACAAGGGCTGCTGAACTCCTCCACCACCTTTTATATTCCTAAAGGAAAATTCCACCAGTTCCAGATGCGAAGAAGACATCTACTGAAAACCATGACCACTGCAACTGAGGGCAACACAACTGTCTTCAAAAACTGCTTGGAAGAAAATAAATCCTAAACCAACAACGGTCTCAGCAGCGATGCAGGCAGGGAAGAAACAGCCTACGAGAATTTCTGCTTTGTGCTAAGGAAAGCCTAAAAATGTGTCGCTTCCTATCACTTGGAAACATGTCGGCAAGGGAAGTGCCTCAACAGCAACTACTGAACTATTTTTAGATCAGAAAAATAAATTCACTGAAACAAGATGATTTAAGGGAACTGACTGAGGATCACTGAGCTATTAAGTGGGGTTTTACCATGCGAAGGAATACTGGCAATGTTCAGGATCCCAGCTGAAAAGAAAGGCTCCCCCACCACCGAAGGCAGTGTTTGAAATGTAGAATACACAGATACTGCAAGAGGGACTGCTCTGCCACACAACTGGAGGCCAGAAGGATGGTGTCTGCAGCATCCCTCTAACCTAAATCTGCCCCACAATCGCTCCCACTCAACACCTGGCTACAAGGGAAAAGCTCATCTGTCACGATTTCAGTTCTCCCATTTCTACGTGTAGGTGTGGCACTTCGGAACATGGTTTAGGGGTAGACTTGGCTGCGTTAGGTTTATGGCTGGACTTGGTGATCTTAAAGGTCTTTTCCCACCTAAATATTCTATGTTTATATCAGAAAGGCTGAAGACAACTGGGATAGGAGTAGGTGCACATGGGCCACACACACTGAACTCCAATTGCTTGGAAGTCCCCTTTCTCTGGGGGAACCCCCAGGTGTGACCCACACCGTAAGACAGAGCATGTGACTCGCCCAGCAAAGGGTCTCGGATCTTCCCCATCCAAAGGGCTCTGGTCTGACCACGTGGCTGATCCTGTTTAAGCACGAGGTTGGACTAGATGACCTCTTGAGGTGCATTCTGACCTCACTTACCCCACAGTCCTACGACAAACTCAACCACCTCTCTTCCTATATTTCTGGATGTTTCCAGAACGGCTAGGTCTTGACAAAGGCGTGACCACAACTCCAGGCGGTCACACAAACAAAGCGTCATTTACTGCTGACTGCAGACTCAGTAACTGGGACAACACAATGGACTGGAACATCTCCCCTACAAGGAGAGGCTGAGGGAGCTGGGCTTGTTCAGCCTGAAGAAGAGAAGGCTGCGAGGGGACCTAATAAATGCTTACAAATATCTGAAGGGTGGGTGTCAGGAGGATGGGGCCAAGCTCTTTTCAGTGGTGCCCAGCGACAGGACAAGGGGCAACGGGCACAAACTGAGGCACAGGAAGTTCCGTCTGAACATGAGGAAGAACTTCTTCCCTCTGAGGGTGACGGAGCCCTGGCCCAGGCTGCCCAGGGAGGCTGTGGAGTCTCCTTCTCTGGAGATATTAAAGACCCGCCTGGACAAGGTCCTGTGCAGCCTGCTCTGGGGCGTCGCCAGGAGGGTTGGACGTGGTGACCCACAGAGGTCCCTTCCAACCCCTACTATTCTGTGATTCTGTGACCGAGAACTGGTTAAACTGCTGGGCTCCAGAAGTTGTGATCAGTGGCACGAAGCCCAGCTGAGGCCAGTCCCAGCCGTATACGCCAGGCCGTATGCAAGCCAACATTGTTCAACCTCTTGATTAACAAACAGGACCCGGGGACAGAGCGTACCCTCAGCAAGTCTGCAGATGACACAGAATTGGGAGGTTTGGTTCATGCACTTGATGATGGTGCTGTCATTCAGAGGGACCTCAGCTGGGTGGAGATACAGACTGACACAAATCTCACGCAGTTCAGCAAAAAGAAATGCAAAGTCTTCCACCTAGGCAGGAATAACCACATGCACCAGTACAGGCTGAGGGACAACTGCCTGGACTGTGACTTTGCAGGAAAGGACTTGAGGTTCCTGGAGGACAAGCTGAGCACGAATCAGCAACAGGCCCTTGCAACAAAGATGGCCAAAAGCATCCTGGGCTTCGTTAGGAGGAACATTGCTACCAGATCGAGGGAGATCTTCCCCTCTTCTCAGTGACACCACAGCTGGAAAACAGTGTCCAGTTCAGGGCTCCCCAGTACAAGAGAGACAGTGACATACCAGAGAGAGTCCAGCAAAGGGTCACAAGGGTGACTAAAGGTCTCAAGCATCTGTCATACAAAGAAAGGCTGTAAGAGGTCAGATTGTTTAGTCTGGAGTGGAGAAGACTCGGGACTGGGGAGGGAAGGGTGTGTCAGACAAGACACACGGCATTTTTGTAGATACTGGCAGTAAAGATGTCTACTTCTGAAAGGACTTCTTCAGAGGATTTACTCAAGTAACTCAAGTTACTCAAGTCCACCAAGTCCTCAGATTTGACTTCTCATCTATGGTTCAAACTCACAGACAGATTATCCATGAGAAAGCTGGAAGAGCTGGACAAATGGACTGCCAAGCAGTGGATCTGGCTGGCAACAGTCCAAAACCCAAACTTCATCCATTGCTGTAGGAGCTGGAAAGGCCTGGTTATCATCCACACATATGCTTTCTGAAGGTCTGAATTGGACTAGATGACATCCTGAGGTCCTTTCCAACAAGAATGATTCTGTGATTCTAAGATCCTCAGCATTCTGCAAATCAGGCAAACCAGTGAAAGGCACCTTGGTGGTTGGAGGAACAGCAACTCACTACTTGAGTACTCTAACTCTGTGCAGAATCACTGCTGAGGGCCAAAGGCAAAATCCATACAAGAACAGCAAATGTTTATGCTGTCAGGCATGTCAATACCAACAGTCTATTGCTTATGCAGTGGGTGAAGAGTCAAGATACTTTTTCCAGAGGCCACCAAACCAGGCAATTTATTCAGGAAAGAGACAATGTTTCACACCTCAGACTGACCCAAGGAACCATCAACACTGAGACGGAGCAAGGCAGGACTTCTGGCTGTCAACAGAAAGCCCAACACCAACAGAAAGACAACGTCACACAGAACAGTCAAAGGGCCTGGCTTACTCCAAGACCACTTATCTCATTGACTGGCACAGCGATCAAGAGTCTTATCTACCGCAAATAAGATAGTCCTGTTGCCAGGACCTTGGTGAAACCTTAGGAAACCATGGAAAAGTCATCACCATCAGGAAATAAGAACAAAGGACCAAACAGATAGTTCTGTTAAAAAACCCCAACATGATCTGAGATGGGTAGATACAAACAAATCTCTTCTTTTCATTCCTAGAAAGTTTGTACTAATGCCACCAGCTGAAATGCAAACTTGCCAATGCCAGTGTTCTGTGTGCCACATCAAAGATGCTGCCTCCCTACCCCATTTCACTCGGACACAAGAAAGTGGCCATGGTAAGACACAGCTTCTACAGACACTTTGGGAGAAACAACATCTATCTGTAGACACAACATCTGGCCCAAAGACTAAAGCAGGAAGCTGAAAGGCAACAAAGAGGCAAACTTCATCAAATAGCTTATTAAAAAATGCAGACACGGAACCAAAGGTTGATCTGCCCTGGAAGGAGCAGAAGTTGGCGTCAACAGAGCGCAAAGAAGCAGCAGGTTCAGGAACAGACCCTCTAGTGCCTTGCAAAAGGAGAAACGCTGCTGCCAAACTGCATGAAAGACTTTCTAGAAGAGCGCAGAGACTGACTCTGTGACACAGCTCAGAGAGGTGTTCTAGGTGAGGCCATGTCCTCTGGACATGCCCGGGAGCCCTTAGAAGAAAAGGCAGCTGAAGAGACTTCATCAGCCTTCCGTCCAGAGAAGAGGAGATACTCCTCCAAGCTGTACATGCCCACGGGTAGCACAGTACTCCTGTAAAGCCATCATAAGATACACACTCCTAGTATGTCCAGATACAGTGTTCAGTTTAAAATAATATAGGCAATATTATACGATGACCTTTCAAAATAACTTCCCATATAAGTTCAAATATATCACAGACAAGCAGCTAAGATTAACTTAAGTTTTATTTATGCTATGCAGAAGTTACCAAATCAGGAAATACTGGAGGTGCAAAAAGGGACTTTCTGGAAAGCTGCCTGGCTCATTCAGGTTCCTACTGCAAGCAGGAGAGAGACCTCGGGTTCTGGAGTGCTGCCAGCAAGGTCCAAGCACAAGCAGACAGGCAGACAGAACCAGCAGAACAGCCCAGCCCCGCAGCTATGAAGCAGGCGGCTGGGCATCCCGCAGCGCCCCAGGGCAGGGCTGCAGCCTCAGGGCAGGGCGAAGCGAGCGTGGCACCCGACAGCGCTGCGAGGTGGTCCAGCTACTGCAGCCAAGGACACTTCAAAACTGAACTTTTCCGGATTCACGTGGCAGATCATGAGTGTACCCAGACTTCTGCTGAACAAGTGTCATTCCAGGACACTCAGTGTATACAAGATGACCAAGGTATGTGACACTAAACACGAGTAGTTTGACATTAAAGGCGGCCAGGAATAGCAATAAACACTGCTGGATGTTGTGGCTGCCCCCTCCCTGGAAGGGTTCAAGGCCAGGTTGGACGGGGCTTTGAGTAACCTGGCGCAGTGGAAGGTCCCTGCCCGTGGCGGGGGGGTGGAACTACAAGATCTGTCAGGTCCCTTCCAACCCAAACCATTCTGTGATTCCATCTGAGGGAAATTCAGCTGCAAAAAAGTGTGGGCTTACAAGGCTCGCAAGCAAGGTGACAAAGCAACCCAAGACAGCAGAGCAATGCAGGGGTTCACGGTACTCCAAGAAAGGATTCTGATATTGAAAGACTGGCACAGTAAGACTTTAGTCTGAAACAAACTGAGTCACTTGTACAGCTTCAGAATGCCTACATATAGCGTATATTTGGTTTACTAATCTAATAAAACAAAAAACTCGGATTCAGTGACTGCAGAGAAAGAAACTAGGTGCATATTTTTTTGCAAAGATTCATTCACCATGGGATCTAATTAGTCAAATTTTGAGAAATTTCATCCATCGCTTGGATTTTTTTAAGGGATTTCAGATTCAAACCTCTTTCTAAAAAGCTGTGGTCCAGCTCAGTGAAAAGAGGAACTAGTCCTGGACTTCTCGTTCGGTGAAATTCTGCCTTCCTGTAAAAGCTACCCAAATTAGACATCACTGTGGTTTTTCACTGCATTCAGATATGAGTGTTCCCCTATTTGGTGAGAGCCTGTATTGCTTTCCTGTATTTATAGCAGTTCATCAGATGGAGACATGTAGACACCTCAGACCTTTTGGAATAGAACTTCTTCATACTTAGCTCCCATATGCTATTACCTATGCCATTACACAATTACCTGAACTGAATGTAATAACATAAGTCACCTTGCTACCAGCCATCCAGGTACAGTTGCACAGGTGGATTATCAATCACCTATAGTGGCTATGGCAGCCCTTCATTTTATCCTCATTCAGTTTGCCAGAAATGGCACAGAGTCACAGCTCTGCCTGTGTTCTCCCAGCCTGGTTGGTCATGGACTCATGTACAAAACGGTGGTTTGGTTAAAAAAACCACAAATGCACAAGACCAGTTTACCTGTCAGCACAGTCTAGGGCAGCGTGAAGACTCCCTGTCACAGCACCATAGGTGCGCAGCCACGGGGCGATGCTGTGAACAAGGCTGGGGTGAGCATTTCCACCCATGCTCTGGATTCAGAACTGCCCGTAATTTACATGACCTTCACCTTCAGGTTTGAAAAGAACCAACACTTCAGGTCTA